TTACAGTGAGAGTGTGGCCAAATTGATCAATCAACAAAAGAATGCAATTTCTGCAGGAATTGCATGTGAATGGCGATCGAGCTGAAGCTAAACTGAGAAGCTGTGCAATTAATGAATGAAACGTAATTATGGAAAACGTTGTCATGCGGGACCAAGCAGGCCCTTTGGTCAATGTTACTCACGCGGACAAATTCACTGGTTCATGTTTATCTATTCGACAGTTGTTGCCAACCCCCCAAGCACATCTTCACTCACTACTCACCGTGCATACCGCCGCCACTGCACCACAAAAGTGCAACGAAATGGAACAGACACAACCCATCCAAGAGACAAGAGAACATGGAACAGGAATCCACCAGGTCACTTTTTACAGAACCCCGTTTGTGCAAAAGAAAAGAAAGAAACGAAAGCGGAGGAGGGGGGAAAAAAAAAACTAGCCCCAGACTAAGCTCCTGTAAGGGGAGCACAGTATGGATTATGTATTATTAATGAATTATGTAACTACACTGTGCCACACTCTACAGTTTGTTGTCAGTATTTGCATTTGTTTTGATTTTTGCTTTGTTTAATTCCGCTGTGTGCCGCCAGGTCGTCGTGAGACTCCTTTCTTAATTTGGCTTCCCTGGAATAATAAAGGTTAAATAAATAAATGTTAAAAACGTCCTAGTCCTACGAGCTTCCCGGTAGTCTTTTGTTCTTCAGCTCTGACGTGCAGTCATCCCAGCGATAAATTGACTCAAAACAAGTTCCCCAATTGATGCCGCTTGGGTCCCCCGCTTCCCCCGACGGCTGTGACCCATCACTCATTTTCCAATCTCGTTGCGGGAGGATCCATCACACTTGATGGCGCCGCTCAACTTTGGAGATGGTAACAGACTTTTAGCGGGATGGGCTTTAATTCATCCCTTAATGAGACGTGGCTATCATTATTCTCGTGGAGAGAGGCTTTTTTTTTTTTCAAATTGTCTGCCGACGAGTCGCCAAAGTATCCATTCTGAATTTGTCTCTACAGTTCCTTCCACTCCCAGTGGACATATTTGCCTGGAAATATGAGTGCCATCAGTGATGCCTTTGCGCAGATGATGTTATTCTACTCACCAGCCTGAGGAGTCAGCTGTGTGTGTTGGATGTCCATCAGAGAAACCCCGCCCCGCCCCGCCCCGCCACGGCCCACGCCACCGCCAACTCCCCCCGCCCATGTCCAAACCAACTGGTCCAGGGAATCCAGTGCCAGTAGCTTGATGAGACAGGTCTCTGCGCTGAGACTTTGGCACCCACGAATGAGTGTGTTGTCCCCTTTCCAAATTGTTTCATTTTTTTTGTCGTTCTCAAAATAGAAAGAAAAAAAAAAATCAGTGCCCAAATCCAGTTTTGCTGAGCTACATGCAAATCTCAACTCAACTCAACTCAACTCAACTGTATTTCTAGAGCACTTTTAAACAACCACCGCCGTATACAAAGTGCTGTACATGGAGCAAATATATATATATATATAGCAATAAAAAATAAAATAACAACGAAGACAGTAGAAAGCACAAAAACAATAAAAATAAAAATCAGGTCTAAGTCATGCTGAGTCAAAAGCCAAAGAATACAAATGCGTTTTGAGACGGGTTTTAAAAATGGGCAGTGAGGGGCCTTGCTGAACGCTCAATTGGACGTCAATCCAAAGAGAGGGACCAATAACGGAAAAGGCTGGGTCCCCTCTGAGCCTCCGCTTAGTCCTTGGCACCTCTAATAATGTCTGGTCCGCAGACTTAAGGCGCCGGGCAGGTGGGCAGATGTGAAGGGGCGGGGGAGCTCGGTGAGGTAAGGTGTAGCAAGGCCAATTAAAGGTTTGAAAACAAATCATAGGATCTTAAAAAGAACTCTTAAAATGTATAGGGATCCAGTGAATGGATGCCAGAGTTGCAATTATGTGCTCCCTCTTACGAGTACCAGTCAAGAGGTGAGCAGCAGCATTCTGGACCAACTGGAGACGCTTAATGGAGGATTGGCTGACTCCAAAGTAAAGTGCTTTACAGTAATCCAGCCGGGATGTGACGACGGCATGAATTACTGTTTCAAAGTGCTCATGAGAAAGGAGAGGTTTGACTTGAGCCAGCTGACCTAAGATGAAAGAAGCTGGATTTAACAACGGCACCGTCTCTATATCTCTATATCTATCATGAGTCGATATCTCAAGAAGCTCCACGGAAAGTTTGCCACTTTGAAGCAGTTTTTACCTTCGAAATTCATAGGATCGCGGTAAAAAAATCAATCCATGCATGTTTTGACCCAGGGTCTGGTCATCGGGGCAACAATCTAAGCAGAGAAGCCCAGACTTCCCTCCCCCGTGGCCATTTTATCCAGCTCCCGACGCATGTATGGTTTAAGCTAGAAGCCAAGAACAACATCGGGGCATTCTGTGCATTCTCGGTTTATGTGTACTTTTGGAACAGGACTTGCGCAGCGACTGATGACATTTCATAAGGTCACAAGGACATAAGAACGGACACAAATATCAATTGAGAAATATTCAGAGCCGATCTTGTGTGTCCTGTGTCATCCCGGAGTCTCCCCCCAATGGGACACTCCTGCAACACTTCACCAGGGAGGCCTCCAGAGGGATCCTAACCAGATGCCAGCGCCACCTGATCCAGCTCCTCTCGATGCGGAGGAGCAGCAGCTGTACTCTGAGTCCCTCCCAGAGGACATAGATTCTCACACTATCACGAAAGGAGAGCCAGGACAAAACTCATTTCGACCACTTGGATCCGAGATGTTGTTCATTCAGTCACGACCTAAAAGCTTGTGATTACAGGTGAGGGGTGGGGACGTAAATCGACCGATAACACAAGAGTTTCGCCTTTTGGCTCAGCTCCCTCGTCACCATGATAGACCAATGCAGAGTCCAAATGACTGCAGATTCTGTATCGGCCCTTCTGTCAATGTCCCTGACCCTAACCGGCAGTCGGGGAAAAAAAGATTCCACAGCATTCTCGCACATTGGACGTGTCCTGTAATTTATGTGATTACTACTCTCGTCAAGTTGCTCATAATTACATTACTATTGTGCAGCGTGACAGTTTGATCGCACAATAGAAATAAACAGAATGAGGCAGCAAGGTAGGTACTTCTCTTTTGGCCTGACCTGACCTAGAAAGACGCAAGGAGGTGTTGTCACTCAAATTTCAAGGGCTTGGTCGCCACGGAAGCCAGTTTTGCACTTTTCAAAGCGGAAAACCGGAGGATTGTTTGGCATTGTGTCACACCGCAACCGGATATGTTGGACATTGTTCCATTGGGAAATCCGCCGAGGTGGCTGAAATCACCGGCGGCGATTATGAAAAAAAAAAAACAGATTAACGGCAACACATTTCTGTGGACACACCTGAATGGTCGGGGAGCAGTTTTATGCGCCTCTCCCTTCGGGAAATGTCTGTTTTAGGACTTTGAAAGCCCATTTCACTCTGCCGGAGGCAAAATCTTGCAGTCGAGCTGATTCGAGTTTAGGCGAAGATTTTAAGACTTATTTACTGATCTTAGCTTGTGGAAGGATGGATATTTTATTTTTTTTCCTTCCACAAAAATTGATAATGCTGCATTTTGATTGACAGTGCGTGGTCATAAGGTCCCATTATGGTAATCGCAGCGGCTGTACAGCTGAACCTCAATGGAGCAGCAGACTCAAATTAATATGTGCACTCCTCTATTGCTTTTTCAGTCGAAAAACATTCGTTTTATCATTGCACTGGACGACACTCTCCACACACAGAAGCCATTTGAATACCGCGGCACAAGCGTGAACTTTCTGAGACGAGCGAAAGCGACGGCACTGAACGATTCGCCACATCAAATCCAGTCCAGTTCATCTGAACTTTAATGAATTCTACCAGTCGTCGAGCAGTCGTACACCAATAAAGTTTTCTCTTGTTTTATGCGCGGGCCGAAGTGTGTCTATTTAGTTAAAAGGCCGCCTGCCATTTTTCAGACAGACGCGACGGCTTTGAATAAATTATGTAAACTTTTTTTTTTTTTTGTCCTTGTGCCAAACAGTGCATCTACTGAATAATAATGACGACTGCGGCTGCAGATGCAAAATATCAAGCGCGCAGGCCGAGCGGCCATCAGGAATGACAAAAAAAGATGATTATTATAAAAATGATGCAGTATTCACGATGTACCAGCATTTTATTCTTTCACAAATATAATCCAGTTTATTTGATTTCTGCACCGCTTTATCAATTATATAAAATGTAATTTGGTTGTTTAGGCAACATACGTATTTTTAGAAAGTTTTAGTTTGAGAAATACTGTAGGTAATAGGACCAATCAAATTGCATTGAACTTTATTTCACTTACTTCATGAACAGCATATATGTAATTAGCATTCTAGGTAATTATTTTTTAGAAATAGTTTCCGTCTTTTATTATGCAGTTAAATGTAAAAAAAAAAAAAAAAAAAAAAAAAAAAAAAAAAAAAAAAAAAAAATTTTAAATTTTT